CTCAACGACAAAGTAAAAGAGGAAGGCCAAGGAACACATTGCGCCGAGAAATAGAGAAAGATATGAGAAGAATGAACAAAAATTGGACAGAACTGGAAAGAGAAGCCCAGGACAGAGCAGGTTGGAGAATACTGGTCGGTGGCCTATGCTCCATTGGGGGTTAATAAGCGAAAGTAAGTAAGTAAGTAGGTAAGTCAGTAAGTAAGTAAGTAAGTAAGTAGACAATTATAATGGTAAGCTAAAATACCAAAGACTTATCGGTTACTCAACACTCATCTCATGCTTGAACCAATTTGTGAAAGATGAATCAGAGTAGATCATTGTCTAGTAAACAGTAAACAAGTTGAACCTTAGTGAAGCCAAAACCCAAACTGTATTTCAATAAACAAGTTTCACTTCTACAACTAAATATTGGTTCCAGTGCTAACTAAAGTAACTGAGTAGGAATTATCCCTTTTTACAGTAATTCCAGCTCTGATTTGTTTGACATTGAAATTTAAAAGAAAAACAATGTCTGACAACAAAATTATCCTACATGGTCGTAAGATCTTTAACAACAGTATCTTCTTTGAAATCGAATACGGTTCCAAGCATAGATGTTAAAGTAGGACTCCAGTGTTTAGAACATGTATGCAATAGTTACATTTCTAGATTATTGGTGATATTTAATCCTGTGTGTTTTTTCTTTCAATGATCCACATTTCATTTATAAATTCTCTTATTCACATAAAATTCATCAACACAAATGGTTCTATTGGTTTATCAGTAAATATTTTACAGTTGTTAAATTTGTGTTTGAATTATGTTAAATGAAGGCAAATGTTAATACATCATTCTGATTTCGTATTCTTATCATAAAAAGTCAAGGATCAATTCAGTTATTCAAATATTTTCATGAATATAAAAGTATTTCCTATCGAATTAGCATATTAATTGACATTCGGGGATAAAGTCAGCTCCATTGAAGTTCGAATAGCATCTTTCCTACCGAGTAATATCCATTACAATTCCTACATTAAGGAAAATCAATCTTTGAAAATAAATCCCGTGTGAAGTTTGTAAGTGCTTTTTCACAAGTGTATCAGAAACATCACTGAGTAAGATTTGTTGAGGTTGAGTTTTGTATTTTGGTGTCTGTAGACGAAATAAAAAGAGTTGATTACAGTTTTTTACATTTATGGCTACAATTTATCTCTAATAACTATATCAATCTTACAATGAAAAATTTAGTATGAGATAACAATCAACGAAGTCACTGAAAGAATAATTTTGAAGTAAAATCAAAATTCGAAAATTCCCGACATGGGTGGGAAAAGGAGTGACGGAATCGATTAACAATAACATCCTTTCTCACTTGGTAGATCGTGAACGTAATAATAAAAAAGAAGAAGCTTTTTCTGTTCTGCATCCGATTCTAGACAAACTGCCTTAAGAAGCTAGATTACGACTCTTCTCGAGCTCTGAAAAGCTTTAACGATGTGTACAAAAAATGTTATATTCAGCCTTTGTGTTTACCGTGGTCCGCTACAGGGTCACTAGAGACCTAAACTGGATATCATAAACCTCTTATATCTCCTCGAATCTCCTTTTGTTTCTATACCTTCCTAATCTACACATTCCTCTTTCCCATTTCACATTAATCCTTTAAATCCTATTTATTTTCGTTTTTATCATAATTATTTTGACCACATCGCACATATTACATAATATAGTCACACAGAGTAATTATTATTATTGGTATTAGGTTTCAATACCAAGGTTGAACTTGATCGTTTCAAATAAAGTGAGCATTAAGTGGAAAGTTTTGATGATATCTCAATGAGCTGAAATTTGTATTTCTGACGTTTCATGAGTTAATACAAGTAACGTCTTTCGAGTAATTAAATAAATTAATTAATAAACGGAATATATGAACACAAGAAAAATTACAATTGTTTTATAACGACTATTATTATCATCATCTCCATTAACCAAGTAAAACTCGCCTACTATGCATTTTATTGACACGATTTATCTTATCATTACATTGATTACACCTTACTTTAAATCGTTATAATCATCATTAAATGACCTTTACCGTTAACAAGTAATCCAATCTTGAAGTATTTATACCCTGATAGTAGTAATTTTTCACCATTTTTAAACTTAGAACATTGTTTAATTCATTGATAAACGGTTACTTATTTCGGCCTTCATAGAATAATCTAATAATTGTGAACTTATAACTGCAGAGTCTAAAGACGAATTTATTGAAAACGATTGTCCGGTTAAATATTCTTCGTCTGTAAAATCAAAATGACATATTCCAGAATAAAACGATGTAATTGAATGACACTGTTTATTGTTGAGTCACATACAATGAAATGTAGACAAATCATAAGTTAATCAAATCTAAAACAGCCACAACTATAGTGATGACATGGTGATCAAGCACATAGGTGATACCATCTTTCTATTTCAGTAGAACAACAAGGACTAGAGTTTATAACTTGGTCGTTTAAAGCAGACTGCTTTAATCGTTAAGTAACGGTTGCGTAAATCAGAAATTAAGTAACAAATAGAGATGATGAATTAAGCTTTTCCAAACGGAATTTTTTTGTTTGAATTATTCAAAATTAATCGTAAGAATTCAGCCTGAATTGATTTTTTAAATTTTTTTTACAACTGACCAAATTCATTTATATTTTTCTCATTTACGTAGAACTTGTTCTTTTTAATAATTCAAATTATATAATTGTATCAGTAAGTGAACAAATCTTAAGTCCGGATATGTTATGTTATGTTATGTTACGACAGCATAATCTATGATCATTTTGTGCTTTGTTTTATTTTGTACTTTCTAGTTAATTTTTTTTTTATTTCAACTTACAGAATTTTTATTCTTCAATTGATTTTTCCCATTGTTTTGAAGTGAATCGAAGTAAGTCAACTAACCATTGACTTTTTACAAAGGTTACATTGAAATTTTTGTTTTCCTGTACATTTTCAAACTATGAATAATTTCATGAAATATAATAGACAGCTTTATTTTCCAATCTATGTTAATTTAACTTATTCATGTCATTATAATTGTAGGTAAATGGTATTTATGTTATTTAATGTCATTATTTTCTTATTGTATAGATAAATACTGATTGAAATGTACCCTAATTTTGATTTAGTAATATTTCCAATTATAGTTAGTTGAAACGAATTGGTATGAATTGATATTATTATTCTTCTTCGTTGGTGTTTTCTACCGATCGTAAGATATAAATATCATTCGTGCTTAATTGTTTAATGATTTATAGCGTGTATTCATTCTATATTGATCTCGGATGGGATACTTTGGAAAATTATACAGTGAAGGATAGCTGTCTTCTCATAGTTTGAAATACTCTCATGATCCCATCAAGAATAGAACCCAGAACTTTCAAATGTCTCAGTAAATGTTCAATCGTCAGGAACAATGCTACTTCAAATACAATCAATTTGCGATACAGTAGGTAGGTAGGTAGGTAGGTTTTTCGTAAAACCTTTTTATAGTAAAAACGGTATTTCTCATCCTGAAGTTTATATTATTTATAACATTTGAACAACCACTGAAGCTTGGACAGTTCGTTTGTCCTAGATTATTGTATGTCAACAGTATATTCCCATAATACTATACAAAAATAAATCTCATATTTTTGATTTCCACTTAGATCACTCAATTTCACCCACTTCGTAAGATAATACTAACTGTAATGGCTGACTCACTTCACAAACACTAACCTGCTATAAAATATCAAAGCATTGAAATGTCGATTTCTTATTTGTTCAAGTCAATCATTACCATTGGTGTTCATCATCGTTGTTGTTGTAGTTGTAACTGATTGTAGTCTGAACTGTATTTGCACTTGAACAGCATCTTCAAAGAATGTACACCTAATGAAATGTTCTAATAATTGAAATGTATATAAATTAACAGAAGATTTATACAATTTGAAGCTAAAATGTATCATGTACTAACTAAGCTGAATGGTATAAATCATTTTGATGAAGTCAAGTCTAGAGTGCACATTTCATCCGATTTATAGCTCGTCAGCTGTATACAAAACAGGAAGATACGAACGTTTACCTACAATATCAATCGTTGCTGGAAAATACATCTCTCATACAAGCTGGAACAAATTATACACCATTTTTGTATTTTTTTTCATAGTTTTAAAGTAAGACGATCAATTAACTACATAATATCTATCGATTGACAAGAGATTTTGAATAGTTTAAATGTATCATCAAGTATAACCGCCTTTATGATTTTTCACGACATTTCGAAAATATATATCATTTTATATCTGAATATGTGTTGTTTCTAGTGAATCCGTAGAATTGTTTTAAGTACTTCTTCCTAATTGTAACAACCCATCCATATTACCTGATAACAAATCATGCTAGAAATTGAAAACATTGAAATTCCAGAAACTTTATTTCTTCTCTGATCGATCTATTAGCTATTTACAGCAAAATGAAACAAATGATAGCAGCAATAATATTATTCTTTGTTAATAATAGTTCATGGTAATGACAATAATAATAATAATAATGATTATTATTATTATTATTATCGTAATAGATAAGGTTGAATGGTTGGTTATTGATTGTTATAAATATCCCAGTGAAAGACTAATTGTGCGCGTTGACTAACATGAAAAAAATGTATTTTGGATGCAAGGCAGTTTAATTAATTATTATAATTAATAATAATATTCATTATTTTTTTTTCAAAAGCTAACTTGCATTTCTCGGGTAATGAATGATTGATGAGCTAAAATGTTTTTTGTTTGAATGAAACACTTTTATGATCCACATGCATGTGGGTAAGTTTGTGCATATTTAGGTATGGATGTAGGAAAATAAGGGCCAAGACAAAAACTAAAATTATTAAATGGTAGGTTTAATATTGAATAATGAAAAAATGGATATAGAATTTTGACAGTGTTCATTCAAATTCAAAAAAAAAAGAGACAAACACGAAATCAAAGGTAATGCATCCATGATCCATCACCAGCTAAATCTGTAGCTTTTGCATAACATGTTACACAATAATTTTGTCCATGATTATTATCCCAAAATTGTTCACCAGTATGTGTTTCATAGCGTATAGCAAATTGCGCTTTATCACCTGGTACCATTGTATCAGGAAAGATTAAACTAAAAGAGAATTTATCTGTTACACCATCATAGGATCCTTGAATGTATGATGCAGGTGTATCGAAAAAGGTAATCCAATTGTTATATGTAATACGAATGGTAACATGCTTTTCATAACCTAAACTTTTAACTCTTATTGTACCAGTTAGTATACAATGTTGCATATCAATATGACAATCTTCTAAGCATATATTACTGGTAAGTACTCGACGAATAAAATTCGATGTTAATCCTGGTTGTGAAAAACATAAACCGAATTGTTTTGCACCAATTTTTGCAATAGATTCATCAGAATCTAATTCTAAATCAAATGTAGCCGAGGCTGGTATTTTTGGAGGAGCTTCAGAATCATACACATGTCGTTCAGTTGCTAAATCAAGTCCTAAAGCATCAGCGAAACGAACTGCTTTTGGTTCATGTGTATCTGAAAGGCTTCTGTTAGATTTAAGCGAACTACTGCGTTTCGGTTTAACCGTTTCAATGGTTTCAACTTTATCACTTACAGTGAATAACTGAGCACCATCAAATGGAAGGAGAGTAGATAAATCTGATGAATTCTTAGGTCGATTAGTGGTAATATTTTTACAATAAACAGGACTACGATCTCTGCTTGGTCTCTGTAAAGAATTCGGCACAGGGGGTCGGGAGGATAGATTGAAATTTTGACAGGCTTTTACAGTAAAGTCAACTGTTTCATCAGAAGGTGATAGATCTTCTGTTTGTTTATTAGATAGAATCTCATTTGAATCAGTATCTAATTCGTTAGGTGCATTATTAACACAGAGATTAGATATTGCCCATGCCAATGTCTGATCTGACCGACTAATATCTGGTAAGTTTAAGTCTATCTCAGGAGATTTATCAAAACATTCAACTTGTAAACTATCTTCTCCCAGTGTACTAGGACTTAAAGGTGGATAAGAATTATCCGATAAATTATATTGTCCAGGTGATGCATTTATATCATCTGATAAAACGGATCCTACTTCTAAGTTACATTCAGTTTTATGATTATCAATTGATGGCTGAGGATTGATTGGAGTCGATTTATTCCATGCGTACATTTTACGTACTTCAATTGGCACACTTATATCACTTGAATTAGATAAATTACGTGGTAATACAGAGTTTATTAAATTATGAACATAACTATCATGAGTTACCTTATCAATTAAACCATTAACTGAATTCAACTGATATGAATCCAATAGGGTAAATGTCACAGGATTCGATTCTGTACATAAGTATTCAGGATCAGTAAATATTGACGTAGAAATTGGAATTAAATCCGAATCAGTTAGTGGTTTACAGTTTAATGTCTCATTAATATTGCAAAAATATCCATTTTTCCTTGATGTATTATTATTATTATTATTATCAATATCAGTAATGTCTTTAGAAGATGAATCTAATTTTATTGCATTTTCAGGGATATGATTTTGACAGGAAAGTGTAACTTTCTCTGTGTCAGTAGTTTTCACGTCTAATTCAAAATCACAAGTTGATGATGAAAGATAAGAAATGGCATTTTTCTCTGTACACACATTATTCACTTCATTCAATAATTGTGTACTACATGCGTCATCATTATTCTCATGTAGATTTGAATCATTCGATTCAAATTTATTATGATCAATTAAATTTGATGTAGTTGGCCAAGTGTTATCATATGGTGTAAAGACAGGGATACTACATCCGAAAATACTTGCAATAGTAGACCATATGAGCCATTTAATATACACCCACGTAGAAACATGAGGGCGTTGATTAGTTGAAGTACTAGGCTCTGTATAATTATTTGATGATACTGATGATCCTGATCCACTGTGCTCAACTGACGTCTGTTGCTTTGAATTCTGATGACTAGTATCAGACATCAGCTAATGACATTTTTCAAATGATTTGCCCAATAATTGATTATCTTAAAAAGTAGCATGATTATTAAGCATAAGTGTGTAAACAAATATTTGTGCACAGTGCATTCAGTGTGATTGCTAACAGATTCACAACTACATTGGTTAATTGAAATAACTAGCTAAATTCAATGTGAACAGCAATTTCTAAACTATTGAAAATCAGACCAGGCATACTAACTAACTGTTGAAATTGACCAATAAGATTTCGAGGTCAACCACTCTACGGACAGCAATATTCAGTGGGAAATAAAGTTACCTGATTTGTTTGTTAAAAAAAAAGAGTAGGAGGAATAAGAGCGGAATGAATAACAACAACCAAATCAATGGTATATTTATATTTTTCTTTGAAAAGGGGGAAATAATAATGCTGTTGATTATTTTTCGTTATTGTGGATAAAAAAGTGTATGAAGACAGTTATTTACTAGTGGCAGACAGAAAATATGTATAATTTTTACACAGTACTGATAAAATGATCATAGATATACATATAAATACGTTATTACAATAGAAATTCACTCCATGAAAAAGAGTTTCATGAAATGGTTGATTTTTGTGCAAAATATTTTATCTATAACAGAAACTAACATCAACAAAGCTTGATTGTTTCGATCAGAGTTTGATTGAGTGAATTAGTTAATATTCTTCTTTACTGAAATAATTTCAGGTCTTCTTAATCTGCTGCTGTTGTTCAACTAAGGATCTTCTTGATGAATAACATTACAATGATACTTCCACTGTTAAAGAGTTTCATTACTATGGTGAACATATCTGCACACTAGCCTAAAAGTTATCTTCATTCATAAAATGAGTTCATTGACAAATCAAGAAGTATTCACCTGTTATTTAGCTTTAGATTAGCAACTAAAATGATAGAATTTGAAGGCTTTAAAGTGTTCAAAAAAGCATACGATTGCATTCAGTTACTGGTATGAATAAAACAAAGTAACAGTTTTGCAAAGCACTGTAATCCTAACTCAATTTCAACAATAAATAATTATCCTCACTTCTGACTTGATTGACTTTGCAGTTCATAGTTTTATACCACAGCTTCTGAAATTTCTTTGGAAAGTTATTTATCAAATATAATTGTCAGGTGGTTCTCTTAAGATTACGTGTTACCTGTATGTTAACTTGTCTTACGCGAAAATTGAAAGCACTTATTTCAAGCTACTTTTAAACAAACTTCAATCATCATGTTGACCAAGATAACTTTTTCATGCATGATTGCATCATGTTAATTCTAACACCCTGACGATTGTAATTTTCTTTCATATCTATAATTAATCCATTTTAAATTAGTTTTTAACACAGCCTAATAAATTTAAATGAATTAGGATTGATAATATTTTAATATATGCACATTTAAACTTATTAATTTTTTTCTTTTCAATTAGAGTTATGCAGATTTGTGTTTTTACCCATTTTATTATTTTGTTTTCAAATATTTTGTTGACAAATTGAAAATCCAACTTTTTGGATTTCATTATATGTATGTATGGTAAATTAGTTGATGAATTAGTGAGGCGCCATCAACTAAGATGGTTGGAACATGTGTTACATATGCTCAAACACTGATTACCTAGAGGGATTATGTTGTCTAGTGTAGGAATAGGCTGAAAGATAGTTAGCAGCGGCCAAACCAAAACATTGCGCCAATGCATGGAGTTCTTGATAACTGGTATTAACCATATTGGTAAGTGTAGACTACTTGGCTAGGGCATACGTGACAGTCATAACCGGTCGTTACAGACTTTCAATGGTAGATTTTAAAAATCGTTTGCAGTAGCACAGGTGTATCCAATCCTTGTCTCCCCCTCCCCGACATTCTAATCTTTTAATTTGCTTATGACCTCTTTTCTTCTCTAGGATGCAAGTACATCCAGCTGACGAATCCTTGCTTAGATGAAATGCTCGTCCTGGATCCCACTGCTAGCCACTATCGACTTCTTCTAATAATGCTTGTAAACTAAACGTAATATAGAGGCGATCCACAACGAATGCGCACGTACCAAAGAGACTGATCAATTGCAGTCCTAAACATCAACAGGAAGATATAAACAACCATTACAAATCAATTTTTTCTTCTCCTTGAATTCTTCCTATGTTGTTTATGTTGTGCGAAATAATATCTTCAATCCTTAATAGTTATCAATAGTTACCAATAGTACTGCTGCTATGGGATTAGCACTAACGATTTCGTTTCCCTGTGCTGTTATCGTATGGTACCTTGAACTGGTGTACCTGCGTACCCACATTGCAACTGATTGAATAAATGATTGACAAGTGTGTTCAATGCAAAAATTGATCAAATAATCTGCATACATATGTGTACACATGGAAAGTGTACATAAAAATTTACTTCGAATATCATAGAATTAATACCTTTTTATTTCAAGTGAATTGAATTTGTTACACAATTTTTAAAACTCATCCTATACATTTATAATCAGATAAATAAGGTCATTAAAAATTAGCATAAATTCTTGTAATAAGAGTAGGGATAATGAATTGGTTAGTACTTGATTCAAGTGGAAGTTTATTCAGTAAATTATGATTACTTCCTCTCTCTCTCTCTTCTCTTACCATGTATATTTGATCAGTGCTGATGATAAAGAAAAATAGATTAGCTAGTTTGCGAAATGCATCAGTCATTTTTCAGACTAAACTCTACTAATAGGCTTTAAAAGATTTCTACCCTGATAGACTATCATTCATGGACAACTTAGACTTGGAGAGAAATATACGGTGGTACAAGTTGTTAGACAACATGCCACCACACACAAAGGCAGCGAGAAAAATGGTCGGAAATGAGAACATACAAAAGATCAGGAATTATAATATCAACAAGTGAAAAGTTTAATGTAAGAAATATAACTCAGAAATAACCTACGACTTTTGAATATCAAGACTATGATCTCATAGTACAACTTGAAGATTAAAGGGTAACTAGGAAATAAATTCATTTGCATCACTGTTATCGACTTTGATGGAATCCATGAAAGACTCTGAGCTAAATAATACAATTGCAACTGGAAATTCCTCACTTTGTAACCCAGATGAGATTAAAACTAATTTTTAATATTTCATTGTGTGTCTACCTACACCCTTAGTCACTTTACAATTCTCTCCAATACTATTCAACATGTCAGTTCAAAGTAGATATTTTTTATTTCCTTAAATAGACGTTCATAGTCTCATCAACTTATCTGGAGTCTCTTCACATAATATTATAGCCTTATAGTTCAGCATTAAATGAGTATTGCTTGAAGGGAATATATGATCCTATCAGTTGGCCGTTTAACATTCTAATACGATTAGCAGAAACACACTACCTATAATGAATGGAAAACAGTCAATCACAATCGATAGTTGACTGAGTAATTTCTGAGCAGATTTGGAATGTAATCACTGAGATGCATGATTTAAAATTCTAAAACAATTTATATGGTGTTACTTATTTCGCGGTATATCTAAGGCAATAATGTTACCTGCAAGTAACTCCATCTTTCTAAAGAAATACGTATCATATAAGAGACATTCTCTTTGTCCAACCTTTATAACAATCCAAACAGCAATGATCAATTGATCAAGCCGGCCAACAGACACATGTTTCAATTTCTCAAGATGACGCCGAATTAAATATAGCGTGAGAAACGTAACGGTTTGCCATTCAGTTTAACTTAAAATGGATCCTCAAAGTTCTCAAAGCGTTCAAATTTATGTGTCCATATTCACAATTAGTAATACTTTTTCAACTTTTCAATAGTAAACATCATATTGTTTTGATTGATTTTACTATCCTTTTGTTGAATCAACTGAATCATTTATTGTTTTCTATTGAAATTGTTATGAAAATAAATTCACTTCCTTTGTCTAATAATAGCGCTCAGTTCTATTCATTTGTTATTCAGAATCGTTTCCTTATTTCCTACTGCAGGAGCATTGATCGAATAGATCGGTTGACCTTGACCAAAAAATAAAGTTATTTATTTCACAACGACCACTCCTGTCCGTACTTATGGCCAAAAATAGTTTTCTTTCTGAAACAGTCATGTGATCACTTATTTTTTTCATTTATTTTCACTTATCTGAACAAATTGATTTCCTAGCGTGTAGTGATATTTGTCAAAATTATAGTTTATGCCTTTACAAAGTGAGGAAAACAGATATCGACTGAATTAACTACATTATTGTAAATTGTTTTAATAATAATTTGGTAAAACCTTAACAACCACTGAAAATTAATTAATCTAGTTTAAATATTTTCTTTTATCGACTGATTAGATAAGAAAATGATATGGTGCTCCCCATAACCATAAAACACTTATTCAATGTTCGATATTCAATAAACTCTATCTTACTAATACCAGATATATGTTGAAAGTAATTTCTGTTTTGTCAATATATTGCTCAATTTAATTATTGATATCTTATGTTTTGGAAATCGATAGTTCCATAAAACATTTTACCAATTTGCCTTTTTCATATTCTGAGAGTGGACATGCTTTTTGAATAAGCAAACAAGATAGTTACAATAGCTGATTTTCAAAATCCAAGGTCTGTTATTTTAGTTCACATTAGGAAATTTAACATTAAATTTGATATGGTGGAGAAAATTTGCAGTTCAGATGGATTATTTTGGCGGATTTTCGCTCTCTGAACTAGATGCTTTGGTAGTGGAGCTCTCGTTATTCGTCTGAACAACATCCTCAGCACAAACTTCAGATAGAAGTGAATTATCCGGATTTCTCCACTTATGGCTAGCGGCTTGTTCCGCAAATTTTTTCTGGTTTAAGGTCATTAAGAACCAATCATGACCAAGGTCAACAGAACAAGCTGAGTTCAAATATTTCACTTCCACTTGAAATTCATGCTGAATCTGCTGTTCGGAAGAACAATGAAGCTCCACAACCAAAACATCCAGCTCAGAGAATGAAACTCAACATTGGTTTTTCTATTT